AAACCCGCCGGCGATCTCTACCACTAGCTAAAGCGGGTGGTTGACAACTGTTAATGGAATACGACTGATGCGAATGACAAGAAAGACTTGTCGCCCGTCGAAAGAATAAAGGAAAGAAACGTGCTGGCGCCATGCCAAACCCATTCTCCTGACACGCCCCATCCAGCGAGCAAAGCTGTATTAGGGTTTCAGTTCATGCAGAAGTCAGAACATTATGAAGAAGGCCTAGTCATTTGCCTGGTCAGTCTCAGGAACTAAAGTGATCCCGAAATTTTCTTACAATTAGATGAGCTTTGAAGCCCGTGGAATGTTGTCAAAGTTACGCAAGATAATAAAAGGATAAGGGATAAAGTCTCCGCTGCTGACCGATTCCCTTGTGGGATGCGGCACGCATTCTACTTCCATTCAGAATCGTAGTGGCTTATTGAATGCGATGTGGCCTATACAATGACTTACGGGGCCAGCTGATGTACAAAAAAAAGACAAACCGGTCTATCTAAGACAATTGTCAACATGTCTCAGCTGCCCTCGTCGCTTTATGAATGTGATCTGACGGAGGGAGATGGGAGATTATCCAAGCAAATGTTAAGCCCTGCGCCACTTGCAAGGTCAAATGAGTACTCACAAAGAAGATCAATGAACTACTCGTTCTCCTTCAACCTTCTAACTGATTTTGTTATTGTTTCTTTCGATGGTACTCGACCTGGTTCCATACCATGGGTCTCAATGACGCTGACCGAGCGCTCCGAAAATTGAACCACGAAAGCGTTCAATAAAGTCCCAAGTTGATAAGAACTAGGTGTCCTAGAGAGCAACTATTTCAATTTTTTTGAAGCTATTTTGTTATGATAACTGCTGTTTAACGCCGCAGTTCGCGTTCCGAATGTTATCACAAGAATGCTGAGTTATGGGCAAAAGTCGTGCCCCAGGCGGGAGTCGAACCCGCACCTCACGCTTTCCGGGCGAGTGCGCTATCCGTTACGCCACCAGGGCCGCTTTTACCCTCTCAGCTTAACGGCTTTTATGCCGTAGCCTCACAGCACTCACACGTTTAAAGGCAGCTGGCACGATAAACGACTAGGATCAATACTCCTGGCAGGATAGAATTCCGCGACCCTGGGCAGGCGCTGCATAGCGGTTTCCCCGAGGAAGGTGCCCTAAAGGCAACATTCCGCGATAAAATAAGGCTATGACCTCTCAGATGTGCCGGACGATAAGGCGATTTTTAGGCTGCGCTACTTTCAAAATGTGAAAAACGGCAAGAACTCCGCTAGAAGCTGACTAATTAGGCCCATGGACACCCCTTAGGCCCATGCCGACCCTCACCGGCTGCTAGCTACTAGCTAGTAGCCACTATGTTATCTTTCTCTATAACATTTCGGACTGCTTTTTCTGCTGCTTTTCTAATCAGATACTTAGCACTTTTTTGTGCCTATTTGAGTTCCGTTTCCCGCAATTTGCGGTCGCGAACTGTGCCTTTAACGGCTTTTATGCCGTAGCCTCACCTCCCTCACACGTTCAAAGGCAGCTGGCACGATAAACGACTAGGATCAATACTTCCGGTGGGATAGAATTCCGCGACCCTGGGCAGGCGCTGCATAGCGGTTTCCCCGAGGAAGGTGCCCTTATAAGGGCCCTATCAAGCCACAACTTTACGTCCCAAACGCCCGCCACGCCCGCCCGCCCACAAATGGACGACCGTTCCTGACGCTCTAATCGATTCATTTGCTAAGCAAATTATGAAGCGAAGGGATTGGTATGAAGCGGCCGTGATGCTGCATGCATACATGGGTACACATATGCAGCCGTATCTTCGGTAGCGGTGATTGGTAAGATGCCTACGGGAAACTCGTCCGAAATCGATTTACAATTCACTGAGATGCCACGATGCCGAAAGTTACTTACTTTACAAGTTTTGCAGCTTGTGAGCACTTTAAGGCTACGGCATAAAAGCCGTAAACTGAAATGGCAAAAGGCCCTGGTGGCGTAACGGATAGCGCACTCGCCCGGAAAGCGTGAGGTGCGGGTTCGACTCCCGCCTGGGGCACGACTTTTGCCCATAACTCAGCATTTTTATGATAACTTATTTTAATGTTGTACAGCACAAGGGGGGGGGGAGCTTCAAAAGATGCATGACTGTTTCAAGTAACAGCAGAAACAGCGAAGTGTTTTTTGACGACGATCTACGCCCTGATTACTCCATTACCCATATTTCTTCCCTACTTGAAGCAGCTATAGTATGTATCTCGAATGTCCGGTTACAGACAGCGTCTTTCCTGGAGTTCTCGACACAGATGATCTTATGGCGTCAGGAAAGACGGACTCAAATGGCGAGTACAATCTATCTGGCAGTACCAAAGAATTCACCGGCATTGAGCCCTACATTGCCATTTACCACGATTGTAACGATGGTATCAAGGTTAGTATAGCGTACATGGTTACACTTTCGAGAATTAATTCAAAAAAGAGGTGTACATGATACTTCGATCCAGAAGTGGAAGTGGAAAACCGGGAAGGTATTGACATGACTATCACTGGGAATGCCATAGGACGCGATCGTGGACGCGAGTAAGAGCTCGCTCTCCCTCTCCCACTCTTCTTGGAGGACAGGTGTCGCCAGTGAGGAAAACGTAACGGTAGACTGGCCTTCTGATTAACCAGAATTGTCCTCTTAAGTGAACAGTTAGGTGTAAAGCATCGAATAAAACAGGGTATCGAGTTCGTGAGGGAAGAGTCACAAAGGGGCTCGAATATCTCATCTCTGTGGAACCATTACCCTTGTCAGGGAGATTTGAAAGTGGTGCCGCAGTCTGGCAGCGTTCATACTTCGCGACAGCAGTGGCGATCGCCGCGATCGTCGGTACGCGTCAGAGCGCGCCCCAACGCTATTACTTGGACCGCTCCGAGTGCTATTAGGAGGAGCAGTTGACTCAGGTAATAGAGTTCATTTTGACTCAAACGAAGGTGATGGATAATAATGGCTTTTCTTTTCTATTTTCGTTTTTCAGGATAGAAATAGCAAAAAGCAAAGGGGCATTATTTAGAGTAGGTTCTTTGTTGTTCCTTTTTTCATTCTTCGAGTTCATACATGAACTTATGAAGTTTCCTCTTACCAGGAAAGGTCAACAGGTCAGCCCGGCCATTTCCAATGAGCTGCACACCATTGCGTCTTGGGAAGGTGAACACAGAACTGTCTTCAAAATTTGCAGAACGATTCTCTGAACGGAGTTATGAAGGGTTTTATCCCCGCATGGTCGTTTCACGTGCTGTCGCGAGGAAACGTTGAAGCGTCTTTACATTTACGTATGGAATCGTTCTGAAACGTGGCAGCAGAGCGCAACGGATAGGGAGCGGGTTTCTTAGGCGGGACGTCGTAGGATCGGTTCTGGGGCAGGTTCCTTTTTTGCATTTGTCCAAGAACATAGCCGACAAAGCTTCTAACATCTCTGCTCGCCTGCACTACCCTATAAGGGAACCTGCATCAGTTTTTTGAAAGTGTAGACCCATTGCGGCCTGAAAGAGTGCTTCTGCTTGTACCCCTCGTAACACGTGTCACAAGGGTTTTTGTAATGAAATATCATCATATTCATGTTCAGCGGGTCGAATTACCCCTGGGGACAAGTTTCTGGCCGAATCTGATTTTTCGACCTCATTCGGAAAGTGTGGGCTATTCCATGGGTAAATTAGCAGCAGATTGGAGCTCACCTACCATCGATGACTGGTCTCGGAATGGGATTTCCTCCCGATAGTGAAGGAAATCATGCAGACGGCACAAAAGTAAGCCAGGTACTGTTGTTTGCAAAAAGACATGACTGAAGAGTTATTTCAGTTCGATGACCAGTCATCACCAGTATGCTAGTCATAGTATCGATGTTAGCTATCAGTTAGCCATGACTATCCATACCCCATTTTTACGAAGTTGAGTCAGAAGCTCAGATTTCGCTAAGGTGACGTCCCTAGGGGTTATTTGACCCCCTGAACACGAATATGATACCTGTTTTGCGCGAAGAGCGCTGTGAGTCGCGCTACATGTGCCAACGCTTCGGCGCCAGCGCGCCCGTAAGAAGAAAAAGTAAAGAAAAACCTCAATAACTCCGCTCAGAGAATCGTTCTGCAAATTCTGAAGGCAGTTCTGAGTTCAGCGTGTAAAGATGAGTACAGTGATGTGCATCTCATTGCAAATGGCCAGGCTGACCTGTTGACCTTTCCTGGTTAGATGTTGCATAAAAAGAAATGATGTTTTGGCTCCTAGGTGCGCTCCTTAGCGTTTCTTTTTTTTTGTTGTTTTGAACTCGACTTGTAAACCATAAATGTTTCAGAAGTTGAACAGTTTGGCCATTAAGAAAACTTCAAGACACTTTTATACATTGAAAAAATGAACAAAACAAAAATAAGCTCACCTATCAAATGAGACTGCACTTATTCCGGCCTAAATAAAATATGAAACCATCTTCTCCATTATACTCCAGATCCTCTCAGTCAGAGAAAGTCCTTACTTCCCATCTAGTGGCCGCTATCAGTAGAAAAAAGGTATTACAACTTGGATTTCCTCATTTATTCAAGCGAGCGGTACAAGAAATAGCTTTGGGGTGCGCTCTGACGCGTACCGACGATCGCGGCGATCGCCACTGCTTCACAGTTTTAGGGCATGCCATGCAAAAGTGCAGAGACATATAGAGGAATGGCAGAAAAGCAAAGGGGATAGGGCAGTGGGCTACTATGCCCATTTGAAGCTAGTACCTTTAGCTGTGTATCTGTGAAATTTGGCGAACCTACCCACAGAAGAAGTTCTCGAGAAATTGAAAAGAAGCCCGAGTGGTGAAAATCAGCGCCGGATTTTCAAATCAGACGTCATAAGAGGAAAGTGCGCTGCTCAAATTTGACCTGCGCCGGACCAGTAGTTGTGTGTAATGGTGTTCTCGAAATACAAGGTGGAAGGTTTGGTTCAGGAGCCCGAAGAAGGAAGAAAGGAAAAAATTTGTTGTCGTGGATGGTCCCATAATGTTCATCCTGCACAAGAAAAAAGGGTGGATGAAGTCAAGCGCTGAATATCTGATCACAGAGCCTGGACCCTTGTCGAGCTTCCCCGCGAGTCTGACATCCCAGCTGCAACTGCTGCCCGAGTTATGTCCGATAAACTGAGGATGGTCAAGAGGGTGCGCATGGGTACCTAATTTTCTTGTAGAAGCACGAACGCAGTACCGATTCTATGCCTCTAGCAGTAATGTTCTCAGCATGAGATGTCATTCACGACTGTGAAAACGCACCCCGGCCCTAGATGAAATATGGGTGGTCTTGGACCTCGAGCCAAAACCACCCAAATTTCATCTAAGGTCGGGTTGCGTCAATTTTGTATGAATGCAGATGAGAAGCCGCCCGAGTTCTACCATGAGGAGTTACGTGGGCGCAAGTGGATGATCATCATAGCGAAGGATTCCCACACTGTGGCTTTCAAGCGGCTCTATACAGAGAATAAATCGTCGCTGTCGGTGTATATTGCCTGTTCCTCGGCAATCAGATCGACAAATGGATGCTACCACACAACTACAAGAAGGCCACCGTTGCTCGTCATAGTGCCAGACCCCGAGTAACTGTATTGTAGGGCAGTGCTGGGACACAAACAATACTGAGACCTGGGTTCAATCGCCCCATTCGCCCAACATAAAGCCGTTCGATTCCAACTGTTCTGATCAGTCGAGGGTACTCTCCGACGGCAAACGCTACAATGTTTTGTCATTCGCCGAAATTGGCATCAACAGCAATTTACCCAATGCAATTAGCTGCAAGTGTCTCACTAATCTAAGAGTTTTGTAGCAACCCATCAAAAATATATAGATTGTCCCAAAACCAGAAAACCAGTTCACCTACAACATCTCTGTGAGGCACCGTTCATATTAGGTCATCCCATTTAAAAGTGCCGCAGGTCTTC